CAACAAAAAAAAATAGTTAATTTGTATAGTATTTTTTGAGAATTTCAGAGAGATTGAAACAGTTTGAAGTGCTTTCGTACGGGCTCGAAATTGAGATCTAACTTGATTCGTTGTCGGATCAGTTTTGAAAATAATCGCGCAGGTGAACGAGTAAAAATGTCTGCGTCTCTACAGCGCCTCTACAGGTTTGGAGACTCTCTACACGTTTTTTTACTCGTTGATTCGTTGTCGGATTTTTTGTAGTTTGTAGCTCCACGGGACTTTATCTCAGAACACCAACTTTTGAGCGCTAACATTGTCAACCAATTGTGTAGTTTGTAGTCTCAAAACTACCCAAAATTCACAAACCTTCTCATTATGAACACAGTATCTTGCAAAACGATGGATATGCCAAAAACTAGTAGAAATAGGAGGGGATTTCTGTGTAGGACCATGTTTTGGGGGAACTGAATGCCGTCGTCTGAAGACACTCCAGAAGATGTCCTCCTCATCTCGAATTCTCATGCATTTTAGAAGTAAATGTCTTCTTCTTGACGACTACTTAGAAGATCCTTATTCATCGATGATGAAGTGATGAGAATTAATTTTTGAAAAGTTTGCACTTTTTTTGTAGATGGGCTGGTAGGTTTTTTTTGGGTTCGTGTTGGTAGAAAGGAGAAAGAAAATTCTAGAATGAAAATATTTCATTTTATTCAAAATAATTAATAAAAATTTAAAAAAAAAAAAAAACAATTTTGGTTTCATCGATTTTCCGGTTGAGAGAGAGAGAGGTGGATATGAAGACACCCATTGTCTTATTTAGTAATTTTCTGAAAATTTCGTAGTTTGTAGTTTTTGTAGTTAGGGGCAAGAAGTAACGTAATCCATGGGAGCACACACACACAACAATTGAAAACTGGGTTAGGAGGAGGCAAAGAGGGAATACAAAAAAAGAAAATAGATTAGAAGAAGAAGAATTAGAAGTATCATGCGAGTAATCGAAGCATCATCACAGCAGTAGTAAGAGCAGTCAAATGCCACATGGGCTTTTCTGAAGACGTGCCTGTTACAGTAGATTCATCTGAAGGCGGCAACGACGGTGACATTGGTGGCCAACAGTCGTCGCCACATTTCTCTTGGAGGGATCTTGTTTGTTTCGCCGAATAGGTCATTTTTAGCTGAAAATGAAAGTTAGCGATTTGAATTTGAGCGAAATCAGAGAATCCCGATAATCAAGCCCCTACAAAAGGCCTTCAAAATGTTTCAATTTTTCTGAAAGTTTCAGAAGATACCAAACAAAAGTAGAGCTTCATTTTTGTAGTTTATAACTTTTTCGTAAAATTTGGTCCTAGAGAGGTATGCCACGTGGAAGAGCGCCTACCCCTGGTGGACGTTGGTGGGTTCCACGTAGCATATTTCATCAGGCATTGATTTTCAGAAAAAGGTGTCAACTACAAAAATGAAGCTCTAGTTTTGTTCAGTATATTCCTAAAAAAAACTCCTATATTTTGTAGTTTGCAGTTTTCGTAGTCTTTGTATTCCCTCTCACCTGCTCCTCTGGATCATAATAGTCCACTAATCTAAAATTTGCTGGTTTCTGATCCGCCACTTGGTAGCTGACATCTGAGTACAACGACAGGCAAACTGGTTTTCCACCGAGCTGTAAATTTGAATTTTTTAGAAATTCGAAAAAAAGGTTCCAGCAAGTGCGCCCCAATGCAAATTTTTTCATAACTTGCTTAGTTACCTAGCTAGGACCTTAATTTTGAATTTCTCCAAAAAGACTCACTGGATTGAAGTAAACATTCATCTTGGTGTCCTCCTTCTCCATTTCAACTCTTTGTAAATCTTCGATTCCAGTCAGTGTGTGCACTTGTTCAGCATCAAATCGATATCCACTCAAAGCGTCGATTTCAGCCAGTGCCATGTTGGACTTTCCAGGGCGAGTGTAGCTGAAAATGTCACTTTATTGAGTTTAGGCTCAATTATCTTGGTTTAGAGTTAAGATAGAAGAAGTTGATTGACCAGCAAAATGTGTAAAATTTAATTCTACATATCTTATTAGTTGGCAATTTTTTGATATCCTAACCGGGAGCTGAGATAATTGGGCTCAAATCTATCATGCGCCTTTTGTGTGCTCGGCCACAACAGCTATCTTGTGGGTGCTAATTATTTCGGTGCCTGTAAAAGCTAACAAAAAGTAACTAGCTAGTAGTGTAAAATTACATTTTACACATTTTCTAGTTTATCACTTTCTGATATCTCTACTAGGAGTCGAGATAATTGGGCGCAAAGTTATCATACCCCCTTTGTGCGCTCGACCACTGTTGTCTTTTTGGCATTAATTATTTTAGTAACTATAGAAGCTAGCAAAAATCAATTAACTAGAAAAATGTGTAAAATTAAATTTCATATAATTTACCAGTTGACGACTTTTAGAATACTCACTTGCAACACAAATCCAACTGCAACCTATTTCCAGCTCTCATTTCCTTAATCTCCTGAGAGCAGAAGAATGGAGCATCGTCATTGAGTGAATCTCTATAATACGAATACGACAATTGTGCAAACACAACACCAGTTCCATTCGCTTGAATCGACACCAAATCATTCAAAGCGCTCAGTTGGTACGATTGGAGCACAATTGCATTGCGTGTGTTCACATCGAATGAGTGAGAGTGTTTTCCGTTTTGGATTGTTAATTGGCTGGAGTGTCGATCCGAATAAGTGACTGCGGCATAGGCAGAGAGTGCTTGGAGAGCCATTACAGTATCCTGAGTCGATGTGAATCCTCCGAGTTCGTTACGCTGGGAAACTAGCCAGCGGATGATTGATAGAGCTTCGGAAGTTTGATTTTGGGAGAGATAGGAGAGCACTGCGTAGGAGGTTGTCTCAATGTCCACTGGGCGGGCCTGAGAACTATGGTTTTCTAGGTTGTAACTTTTGCAATGTCGGGATCATTTTCTTTGAATTCCAATGAGTTTCGCCTATTTTCTGTTGAAAAAAGTCAATTTTAGGTGCCTAGAGAATAATGTATAATATGTCTGATGAGTCTGAAAATTTCAGAGTGTACTGAACAAAAATAGAGCTTTGATTTTGTAGTTGACAATTTTTTTGAAAAATTAAGTCCTAGAGAGATATGACACGTGGAAGCGTCTACCCCTGGCGGACGTTGGTGGGTGCGCCTCCTGGTGGGCTCATTGCGTAGCATATCTCCTTAGGACTTGATTCTTCAAAAAAGTTGTCAACTACAAAATTGAAGCTCTACATTTGTTTAGTATACTCTTAAATTTTCAGTTTTATTAAACTGAATTTATCAGATTTCTGAGACATCCAAAAATTGACCATTTTCGAGCAATAATAGGCAAAGTTAGTACATTTTAGGCCTGAATTGTTGGTTTTCTTTTTTTTTTGTCCTTGTGGCAATTTTTGATGACAAAGAAGGATTATAAAACTTCTTTATTTTGTAGATCAAAAACTTTTTTTTTTTGATCTACCTCTTTTGGCGGCTCAGTGTTCCTTGATTCCATGAATAGAAAATCAATATTTTCCTTTTTTTTCTCCCATTTTTGATTTTTTTTTGATTTAAAGAGTTTTTATATCTTTTTAGTCTTAAGCTAGATTAGTAGTATTGATTTCTACATTTACCTTTTTGATGGAATGTTCAAAAATTTTGGTCATATAATTCGGAGGGTACAACAATTCGGGGGTACAAAGCGGTACAAAGCAATTTAGGGGTACAAAATCTTCAATTCGGGGGGTACAAAATACCGGGAAAAAGGCTTAGTTTGTACCCCCCGAATTGAAGATTTTGTACCCCTAAATTGCTTTGTACCGCTTTGTACCCCCGAATTGTTGTACCCTCCGAATTATATGACCAAAATTTTTGAACATTCCATCAAAAAGGTAAATGTAGAAATCAATACTACTAATCTAGCGGGGATCCTCTAGAGTCGACCTGCAGGCATGCTAGCTTGGCACTGGCCGTCGTT